TTAATAAAACAACCTTGGTCATGTGGTCGAATGACTCCTCTTTTAATACCCTATCAGCTTTCACGAGCCAAAAATAACGTAGATACGTTAGGCAGAGCGTACCATGTCACACATCAATGTTCTGTTTGCTTGGAGCTAATGTGACTTGTCTGCCAACAAGCCTTGCTCTCAGACTACAAAGTAACTACTGCAAAATAAATTGAGGACCTCTCTTTTTTAGTATTGTACACTGTTGTTCTCTCGGCTTAGAAGAAGGTAAATTAAGTGTCGACCTAAACTAAAACGCGTCCCGGCCGTTCAGAGGAGGAACAGAGGACGCATGTGATGCTCTGAGGCAACTTCGACAACCAACGTTATCAATGGAAGTCACCTGTATAAGGAAAACTTCCGCTTTCCATTGACAGCTATATTGAGCGAGCTAAGGATATAAAACAAGGCTAAAATTTACTGCTAAACATTTCACTTTTTGCATTTTGATCGAAAATAAAATACAGTTAAATCACTTTATTATACCGTTGAAAGAACGTTGTGAAAGAATTTCGTGTAATAACAGAAGCTGTCTTCCTCGCCAGACTCGAAAACTAAACTTACAAGGGAATAAAAATGCCTATCAGCCGTATTAAGCAACGTCCTGATAAATGCAACTTCTTCGTATTTTCAGGTGTGGCCAAGGGGCAATTACGTGGCGCTACATTTTGCTTCTCGCCTATTGAGATAAGCTGAAGAACAGAAATTTATAATTATCACCTCAGGCACTTCATTACTGCATATTAACAACACATTTTCACTAAAATTGGTTATATAATGGTATACCTCTTCATATTTAATGAATTATCATTTGTTTATAAAGACATTTATGTTGTTTTATTTAACTAACCAGCCACAACACTAGAAGCAGCTCTTTGTATAAATTACCATCGGTGATCGAAATCATTATCTGCTAACGGTGACAATTATTGGCTGAGTTGAGCCTGCGCAACTGGAAAATGTTTATTCTCCAACGAGTTAAAAATTGTCACGGAACTGTTTCGCAAATGAAAACCACAAGCATATGTTCTTTTTTTTTTTTTATTGAAAGGTTACAACAATTCATGGACTTTTCTCGTGCTACGGATCGATCGTCACTACCATTTCTTTCTGTTGGATCGGAAAATTAAATAAGTGTCAGTCTCTATGCTGAACTGCATCTTGCCTTTTTCAGGAGGAACAATGTGATGATTTAAAGCAACTTCGACAATCGACGCTATCGAGCAAAGTCACCTGTATGCAAAACAAGTCTCGTTTTTCAATGAAAACTACATTCAAAGAAGTTCTAACTTGTTCCCGTTCACCTGCCTGGATTCTTCCAGTGGGGCTATTATTCCACAACCGCTTACAAGTTAAAGACTTCCCTTAGTTTCCATGTAACTTTTCTTTCGTCTCGGACGAACACGAAGTGCCAGGAAATTTAATTTAAACTGAATGTCTCGAAACGCGCCATAGCAGAAGTTCTTAAAGCGGCCAGCGCTTCGGGTATAATTAAAACACTCTGACAGACAAACAGACAAAGAGACAGAAAGACAGATATACAATTGGGTGAAGTTTTAAAGCGAAGGATATCAGGCATCAATTCGGCCAAGTCGAATCATAATACCATTAATTAACGACAATAGTTTTTTTTGGCTATATTTTTACTAACTAACCGCAAAAAAAGGTATGTTTAATTTTGTAACCCAAAAAACAGTGAATCCCGGATAAATGAAAATAGCTAAAACTCACACGTACAAAACACACATTTTTAAATGGACGCAAAGTTAACACGGATGATTAAAATATTGTTACATGTTAACCAAGACATTTCATAGCAGTTATGATTTTTCACAATCCTTATGAAAAGAATTTAATATCGATCGATCAAGCTTTCTGCATCTCAAGGACCTTCCTTCTTCGACAACCAAGGGCAACCGGGTCCTCTTTTGTCCACCTAGTTATCTCTTAAAATAATTAAGTTCCATAGTTTGTTGTCAAGACCTAACTAATTCCTATTTTACCATGGTATGTTTTATAATTCAACAGGAAGATGGAGTTCTTTACATCCCTGAAAGCTTTACTAGGGTCTAAATTTTGATGATTGATAGACTAATTACTCAAGTAATTTGCGATTATAATAATCTTTACAATGGCGCGCAGGAGCTGATAGCATGCTTTTAGCAATAAAGCAAAGAACGTGATGTGAGCTCTAATTCGCTTGTTTGCTGGTAGTAAGGCTCATATATTATTGTTCTCTCCCCAGAAGAAAATCTCCTGCAACAAGATGTCAGTTCTCTCAGTCAAACTGTTAAAGAGCGTCAGTTTTCAAAGGACGAGTTCCATTACCTGAATGTGACTCGAGTTGGAACATCCACCGTGTACGACATCTTTGACTGCATCTTTGAATGCCTCAGCAATCCTAGGTGCTTTTCTTTTAACTTCGCTTCCTCCAAAGGAGAGGGTGGAAAACTTTGGTGCGATCTGTTGTCTTGTGATAAGTACAGAGACTTCAGAGAGTACAATGAAAACGTGACTTCGCATCACTTTTTCACTATGGTAAGACCTGGTTTCTGATATCCACATTTCTTTAACACATTGGTATTCCAACTTTACTCCAAATCATGAAACAAAGTTCCTTGTATAACCATGAATTATTTCTTCTTATTTTAGTCACCTTGTTCTTCCATGCCGTGTCGAAACGGAAGTACTTGTGTGACGAATTACAAGCATGACACCTTTGAATGCCATTGTGACAAAGGATTCAATGGTGAATATTGTGAGAAAGGTATACTGCCAATGTTTAAACTTAATATAAGATTTTTGCTTTCTTTGAGTTACTTTAAGGTGGTAACGTTCATACCAGGGCGGAAAAAGGCCTGGCGGTGAAACGAGGCAGTCCGAGCAAAAGGTGTGATGCAGTAGACTGGGTATTTGTACTAAAACGAGCAGATCCTGTTCACTTATACTCGAGCTTAGATTTATAAAGACATTCCACGAAACTCCCTTCTAAATGAATCAGCTACCTTTTTGGTACATGTTTTGTTTAGAGGAAACGGGAAAAGGAGAGTTTTTCAGGACTATAAATTTCGCGCTGTGAATGAGTAAGCCAGGACCTACGCGTAAGCTTTTCCATTTCTTCTGACTTACGAATAAAGCTTATCTAAGAAAACTCTCTACTCTGGTTTTTACCACAATTGCTACTAATCTCGCGATCTGATTGGTTAATTTGCCGTCGTCGATAAGAGTCTAGACAATGCTGCTCTCGTCAATGTGTCACGCAATGCCTTTTTCAGCTCACGCTCCATTCTCGTCCCCAGTGTTACTCGTCTTAAAATGTCGTTGACGAGTAGCTCTGGACGCACCAAATATTCGCATTTTTTCATTGGCTGACAAAAAATGAATGCGCAGCAGAAATGAAAATTACAAAGCTCTACGCATTCCATTTTACTTCCGGCACCTTCGCTTAGTTGACACAGGCGCGCTTTACGAAAAAAGAAAAAAAAAAAAACGCAAAACAAATGGTGACCTTTCCCGATCGATCCGAAGGAATCGTTAAAGTTTCCACGTAACCGGAGAAGTACGTCGTCTGCAACGATGTCATTCTCGATCGTAATCATCGTCCTTTGTTGTAGCAGCCGAGAAAGTGGGAAGATTACTTTGTCGCTGACCATACCCCAAGAAATCATAAGATTAAGTTCGAATCGGCAGTGGGTTTCAAGAAACGTTTGTCTTCCTTTATGAAAAGCTCAAAAGGAAACTTAGAGCCAGGTGAAAAGACGAAGAAATAT